CAGACGTTTGGTTTAGAAGTTTACGAAAAAATTGACGAGAAATTAGTGCTTAATTTGACAAATAGTTTGGTCTCATCTTTTGAATTAAGTGCTTTACAATCGGATACTAACTATAATATCAAAGTTTATGCAATCAATATGAAGGGAAAGAGTGAACCATTTTTATTGTCCACTAAAACCAATAGCCTTCCCATTTCTTCTACAGGTTTGTCTTATTATCACCGAAACAATCAATGTTTTGTAATGAATGGCATATTTATTATTACATTAACAGTAACTCCAAAATTAGACGAATCCGAGGGTCTGATTGAAAAAGTTGTGATACTCGCAGTCATTATCGTGATTATAGCAATACTTTTAATACTATTTTATAAAATTCTTCGCAAATTTCGTCAAAAAATGTCTGAATGCGATGACGAAGACATCGATAACAAGTCGGAGGAGACTCTGGAGTATATGGACGATACAAATGAGCAGAAAAATTACCAAAACGGACACATTCCTCAACTCTATCCTCAATCTAATTCAATGAGGCCTTCGAGTGAGTCCTGAAGGCATTCCTTATTCATAACAACCAATACCTTTATATTCTGTTTATTGTTGTTTATAGTACTGTATAGTGTAGTGTAGTGTATATATTCTGTTGATATATAGTGTATATATTCTGTTGATATATAGTGTATATATTCTGTTGATATATAGTGTATATATTCTGTTGATATAATAATATTGTATAAAAACTAACTCTATGTTGAATGAATGAATGAATGAAATACAGATTATATGAATGATACAAATCAACTAAAATACGACAGAAATGGTTATGAAGTTTACGAGATTGAAGTACAGGAAGATTGCGGTGAACTCTACGACCAAAATAATTACATTGATTTCAATACACAAAGAGACATAACTTTTCGATTGACTGATGATTTGAATCATTGGTCGCCGAATGTAAGGAATGCCTGCCTTTTGTATTTGTTTATTGAATTTAATTGAAATAATGGCAAAGAATTTTTACTATTGATAGGCATCGCAAAAGTCACCGCAATTTGAAATGTCTTATCCATTGGAAACTATGCGAAGACATCAAAACAACACTTATTTCTATAACAATACAATCAATAATAACCGAAGTGTATGTCTGCTCAAGAATTTTGCAATCTTTCACTAAAACCTAAACCTATTTTTTAATTAATTTTCATTTTGACTTAAAGGCACAAAGAAGTCGAAAAACTTCTTATACATCAACACCTGTTTAGAAATATATTTTGTATTTTTTCATCTGTTATTAATTGCAATCATTTTTATTAAATTCTGTATATATTTTTTACAATCAATTACTAAACAAATTGTAATATTAATGTTAATTAATAAAATTATTAATAAAATTAAATGCTTTCATTTTTTAAAAATATTCTACAATTTTTATATTAATCATTTAATTATCATTTTAACAATAATTGCTATTTTTCAAAGGAAATGATAAATCATAATTTTCGTATAATTACTGATACACGAATTAAATGTACGGAATTTAGTAATAAAAATGAATTTTAAAAATGTTAAAAAATACAAATGAAATGATTTGTGTTTTTATCTAATTCTCGTCATAATATTAATATATAAATCAAACGGATTTTAATACAAATGATCTAGAATTTGATGAATGAAAAAAATAATAGATATTAAATATTGTAAATACAAATTTTGTAAATATTATAGTGTATTAAATAACGTATTTTCCACATGTATTCATTAATTATACAATACTGTTATAAGTACTCATATAATTATTTGAAAAATTTCCAATCGCATAAGAAATAATCATTTTTTATTTCATTAAATCTCTCACAAATGTGAATAAAATTACAATAATATCTTAAATAATGATTACAAATAATTTCATTCAGTAAACCCTTTGGATAATTATAATGACATTCAATAAAAAACACGATTGTCATTAAATTCAATATTTAGTACTAAATAAAACAACAGAATGTCGTTTTATTTTCTAATAATTAATATAAATTATTATAAAGTATAATAATTTAGTATTACTTTAGTATTGCATCGTTGGATCATAAAGAGTTAAATATGTTGAGTTCATAATGATATTTTATTCATAAATTAACTATAATTAGAATAATAACAACAATTACTACAATTATAATAGAAATAATTATATTTATTATTTTATATTAATATACAGTATTATTCTGATATAACATTTATGAATACCGACTAATATCTGCTAAAACATGTTCCAAAACATGTATATAAATTGTGAATGTAAATTGTCAATACAAAACATGTTTTAGTATGAATTTACTCATATATTATATAATTTATTGAATTAAACATAATTTTGGGTCAATTAAGAGACAGTGAGACGCGAGACATGACATATAAATTTAGATAAAATAACAATAATTGTTGTCCATTGAGTTCAACAAAGCAAATTTATTTAGGATTTTGTCTTCAAGAAAAATAATATGAAAATAATACATATTTTTGTAAACATTTTAGCAATGATTTGACAGAATTTAGTTTTTGTCAGTTTATTCCGATTCACATTATTTTGTTGAATAAATATTAATGAAATTAATCGCACATTAAAGTGAAATCTTATGACGAAAATAAATGAATCGTAAAATTTATCGATTAATGAAATGAAGAAAAGAAAGAAAATTGACGGTAAAAACTGGCAATTCATGAACACATAAGTGATTACATTATAATCAAATGAATTGATTATTAATTTATTAGACAAAGAAGTTTATAAAGAATTGGTTCATAAGTGGTGTCGCAAACAGTCGATGAGATGAAAGCGTATACAACGGACCAAATGAGCGGACGAAACAATCCCGCCTTTCATGACGATAGTGAAGACATTAGTGCCGCAGATTTACCGCCGGCTTTTCCTAAATACAAGCGGTCCATAGTTTTGCCCTCATTTCTCAAGGGTTTGGGTCTCAATAAGAGTAATGAAATCTCACTCATTGAGCAGTCATCAGAGATACCGCCCCAGAGTCCCAAAGAAGTGGCGCCCAAAATGGACTTTTATGTCAATGAAATGATAAAAGAGAGGCGGCCAGACCTCGAGGACATTCATCTGCCCCGTGAACTTAGGTCTAAGTTTAAGGTAAGATTACCATTTTTATGAATGAAATTATTAATATCTATATTCTTAATAAGAATTTCTTATGAATTAAAAACTGTTTGTGTTTAGAAAAAAGAAAAAGATATTGAAGATAATAATGAGAGTGAAAGTAATGGGAATTCAAAGCTTGGATGGATTGATGGCGTATATGTAATATAGTTTATACGCTAATATCACTTATACCCAGATGTAAATTGTAATAAATATAATTATTAATCCATTAGATTAGGACAATGATGAATCTCTTCGGGGTTATGCTATTTCTAAGGATGGGTTGGATGGCCGGACAGGCGGGAGTCAGTAAGTGATTCAATATATTTCTATTAACTAAGATAATTATAAAAATAAATAAATATTTAAAAATATATTTTAGTTTTGGCATTGGTTCAGATACTGGTGGCCACAATCATAACAGTGATCACCACAACATCAATGATAGCCCTTTGCACTAATGGAGACATCGGTGGCGGAGGAATATATTCAATGATATCGCGAACGGTTGGTCACGAGGCCGGAGGTGTTATAGGCTTTCTGTTCACGTTTACAAACGCGGCATTTGTTGGCCTCAATGTCTTGGGAACCGCTGAAAGTATAACAGACATTCTCAACGTATGTCTCAATAATTTATATAATTTAATTGTCTAAAGTGTTATTATTTGGACAGGTATTTGGAAAAGGCATTTGTGAAGTGCCTTCCGGTTTAAATGATATGCGAATTTTAGGCTTTATATGTTTGATACTAACGGCGGCCATTCCTCTCATCAGTTTGCAGTTTGAGGCAAAGACAATGATGTTCTTCTTCCTGACACTCGTTATATCGCTCATCGATTACTTCGTCGGAGCACTCATTCCTCCCACAGAGAAACAACAGGGAATGGGAGTCGCGTATTGGCATAAGTATGTCATTGTTCCCAATCTGTTGCCTGTGTGGGAAGGAGCCACCTTCTTCAATGTCTTCAGCGTATTCTTCCCGTCAGTGACGGGTATATTCACGGGCGCGAGTATGTCGGCCGACCTTAAAGATCCGGCCACTGCTATACCGAAGGGAACATTTCTGGCCATTGGCACCACATCCACGACATACGCTCTGATTGTCATATTCTTGGGCTTTACTGTTGTCCGCTATGCGGATGGAGATCCGAGTCAAATAATCTTCAACAACCAGACCTGTACGGCGCCCAACGGATGTGAATTCGGCCTCATTAACGACTACCAAACAATGGCCAAATCTGGGGCTTTGTATCACACGGGTATAGCAGTTGATCCCCTAATATATGCCGGAATATTTGCCGCAACCCTGTCCTCAGCGTTGGGCTGTTATATGGCTGCGCCCAGAATTTTTCAGGTCTTAGTTTTCAGTTATTTTATTTTACGATTTTATTATAAATGTGTTAATTTTGTAGGCCTTCTGTGACGACCATTTAGTGCCAGTAATTGGATGGTTCGGCAAAGGCTACGGTCCGGCCCGAGACCCCCGACACGGATATATTATCACGTTTATAATTGGAGGCATTTTTGTGGCAATTGGTAGCGTTGATACGGCGAGCACCTGGATCTCTAACTTTTATTTAGGCGCCTTCTTTATGGTCAACTTTGCTTTGTTTCACGTCGCGTTAGTCAACCCAATCAGCTTTAGACCAAGTTTTAAGTTTTACAACAAATGGATTAGCCTTATAATTGGCCTCTTTTGCATTTGCCTCATGTATTTATTCGATCCTATATCAGCCTCTGTTGTAATAGGTCTCACCATTATCATCTATCTGCTTATGCTATTTGTGGATCCAGGTCAGTTTTCTAATGACAAATGTCATTAAGAATTACTAAATATATTATAATTTTATTCTAAATAATAGCCAAGGCAAATTGGGGCACAGCGAACGAAGCGTGTTGTTTTGATTGCGCCCGTAGTATAACATACCGGTTAAATGTGCAAGAGCATCACATCAAAAACTACAGACCTATAATACTGGCTCTGAGCGGGAATCCCAAGAATCGTCAGGTGTTGGTAGATATGGCCGATAGGATGACCAAAAAGCACGGAATGCTATTCCTGTCGCACATAACTGAAGGCCCGCTAAGCTATANGCACGGAATGCTATTCCTGTCGCACATAACTGAAGGCCCGCTAAGCTATAAGACCAGAGAGCGTGTGATCGACGGCCAGAAAGCGTGGATTAAGAGCGAAAAGATTAACGCTTTCTATAAACTCGTTGAATCGGATTCACTCAGCGATGGCCTCCGAAGTCAACTCCACTCGACGGGCGTCGGAAAGTTTGCGCCAAATATAGTGATGATTGGCTATAAATCCGATTGGAAAACGTGCAAAGAAAACGATTTACGCGACTATTATGACACCATTCATAACGTATTGGAATCGCATTACTCTCTCATTATATTACGGGTGAAGGAAGGCATTGATTTTTCCGACTATTTTGTCGCCGCCTTTAATAACTACGTTACTGTTAACGACACCGAAAATGTTTTGAGTAATATTAATGTTAATTGCATTATTTTTAAGCCTTTTGTATAAAATAATTGTTGTCTCGTTTTGAATAGGTGTGAGCGATATATACTCGTTGTCCCGAGATATTGACGCCCAGGCAACTGTCAATATAAATACGCGGACAAGTTTGACACACATCGAGTGCCAACAGTTGTCCAATCGATTCAAATACAAACAAAGGCCCGGATTTGTGGACGTCTGGTGGCTGAACGATGACGGAGGGCTCACTCTTCTCATACCCTATATATTGAAAAATGAAAAACTTTGGCGAAAGTGTAAACTAAGAGTATTTAGTGTCACGGATGGCACTGAAGACACAAATCAACTAAAAGCCGAGTATTTCTACACTATTCAACATTTAATACATGTGTTTTAATACAATTTTATTGTTTTAAAAGTTTATGTGAATTGTTGAACAAATTTCGTATCCCATTCGCTGACGTATACGCCCTGTCCTATGAAAACGTTGATCCATCCGTTGAAACGTTAGTACAATAATTGTGTTTTTATTTTAATCATTAGTAAATTATTTCATTTTTAATAGTAAAGCAAAGTTTGATTCAATTTTGGAGAACTCCATAACTAATGAGTTAATGCCTGTTATTAAGACATCCGCTAAAGAACTTATCTCTTTCAAAGAGCAGGTAAACTCATTAATGAGTTTTTATTTACATGTATAAAGTAATTGATTTCATAACTTATGCGAAATGAATGATTCGTATATTTCAGACAATAAAAACACTGAAACTGAGGGAAATGTTAGTAAAGTACTCGAAAACTTCGACAATGATTGCACTGTAAGTGTTTTATAAGTTTTGAAGTTTTTTTAATTACAATATTTGATAAATACCGGTAAATTGAAACACACTTTTTACAGGACACTACCCATACCTCGTAAATACAAGTGTTCGGCCACTCTATACATGTGTTGGCTGGAAGTGCTTACTTATGATATGCCACCCATATTAATGATCAGGGGCAATCACGAATCGGTGCTCACATTTTATTGCTAAGTATTACGACTATTGGCACACAAATTATCGCATTATTTATTACATCGTTATTAATATTCATTTAATATTTATATTGTGTGATGATTGTTAACAATTAAATTTTACGATTTACACAATATATTGGTTTATAGACACACTTCTATCATAAATTACCAAACGTTTTATTGATTAATAATTATTTTTATTTAATTCATATGTATATTAATTATGTTTTAATTAGCGGGAATGAGATTACATTTTAGCGATGTAATTACATTTACAATGTATAAACCTTTTTGCTTTGCAAATAATAATTGATTAAATAATAATTTATGCAATTTATGATAATTATTAACATTATTTATATAATTCATATTTGTTATAATAAATTAATAAATATTATATAACTAAACAAAAATTTATAAATATTTTAATTATAATAAATATAAATTACCATATTATTTGCAATAGTTAAACAGTAAAAATTGTTTTAAATTATTTAACCAAAATATTTTAATTTAAACATTAAATACAATGTTTATATTCTGAATTATAAAATTATCTATTTCAATGTTTAGAAATAATTCTTATATAAAAATAACGTTTAATTTTACAAAATGTAAAATTTTTAATTAAAACCAGAGTAAATAATACAAAATTAATTAAATTTTGATAAATAACATCCATTTTGAAGGATTGTTATGGCATACAATTTGCATGTATATATAGAATAGTGATAATTTAGATCAATCACTGAATTTATTAATAGTTAACAATGAATTTAAAACTTATAACATTTATTGCACTATTCTTAGCCCTAACCCTAAATGGTATGAATGAAATTAATTGATTCAATATATTTTGCAATTAATTTTTAGTAAAATAAGTAAATTTAATCACGAATTTAGTTGTAGTGAATGCAGACGAGACGACAGAAGCGGAATCGACAGACATTTCCACCGATAGTTCATCAGATATTCCGACCGAAACGACGCCCAAACCAACCGCCAAAACAACGGTCAAAACGAAAGCCAAAACGACGACTAAAACGACGCCTAAAACTACTACCAAAACAACGACCAAAAAGACGGCCAAAACTACTCCCAAAACTACGCCCGAAACGCCGTCCGATAAACCGCTCAAATCAAGTGCCGAAGAAGGAGAAGGAGGGGATAGTATACTGCAAGCGTCCATAATTATTACCAAAACAATGGCCAAAACGACACCGAAAACGACAGCCAAAACGAGGCCGAAAACGACGTCCAAAATTCCGTCCGAAACGACTTCCGAAACGCCGTCCGATAATACCCTCAAATCAAGTGCCGAAGAAGCGGAAGCAGACGACGCTATACTGCAAGCGTTCAAAGAAATGGCCAAAACGACACCGAAAACGAGGCTCAAAACAACGCCTAAAAAGAGGCCGAAAACGACGTCCGAAACGCCGTCCGATAAACCGCTCAAATTAAGTGCCGAAGAAGAAGCGGAAGCAGAAGATGCTATACTGCAAGCGTTCAAAGAAATGACTAAAACGACACCGAAAACGACGCTCAAAACGACGCCTAAAACGAGGCCGAAAACGACGTCCAAAATGCCGTTCAAAACGACTTCTGAAACGCCGTCCGAAACGTCCGAAACGACGTCCGAAACGCCTTCCGAAACGACGGCTGAAACCGATAAACCGCTCAAATCAAGTGCCGAAGAAGTGGAAGGCGAAGAAGAGGATGAAGACGATAGCCTACTTCAAGCGTCGAAAGGTGGCGACGGGGATGCGGTCAATATGAAGACGTGTGGCATCACTCGCAAGAAGAGCGGCAATATTGTGGGCGGAGAGAAGGCGGCCGAAGCCGAGTTCCCGTGGATTGTGTCGTTCCAGAGGCCAAAAGGCGATGGTATGATCCACTTCTGCGGCGGCTCTATCATCAACGAGAGGTGGCTATTGTCTGCCGCCCACTGTTTCCAAGGGTATGCATAAAGAGTTGTTAACAGCTATTGTTATAACTAATGTTTTGCGTTACGATAAGTGTCACCAATTCATTCCCAAAGATGAAAGCAGTGGTCGGAACCATCAAATGGGCCGATCCTAAGGCCCCGAAGTACACCCTCGAGAAGCTGTTCAATCACGAGGCGTACGACGAGAACGTTTACGCCAACGATATCTCACTCATCAAAGTGAAAGAGACAATCGCTATGACTTCGACTAAGACTCACTACACGGTGAACAGTGTATGTGTGCCCACACCCGACGTCAAGCCCACCGAAACGGCCACAGTCTATGGCTGGGGTTATCTCAAGGAAGAGGGAGACCCGAGCGCTGATCTAATGAAAGTAACGGTTAATAGATCTGACACAATAGAGTGTAATAAGGTTTACCAAGAATTTGTGGGTAATTTTACACCAGAAATGTTTTGCTTTTTGTCTCCCGGCAAAGACGCCTGTAAGGTATGTTTACATCTAGATACTTTTGTTACATTTATATTACATATAACTAAACTCTGATTTAAATCCTAAATGATTAACAATTTAAATGTATATTAAAGGGTGACTCCGGCGGTCCACTAACGCAGACAATTAAAAGGTTTGTAAGGATTGTATTGATTGTAATTGTGTAATGAAATGTGATTTACATGAATAGAAAGGGAACTCAATTAGGAGTGGTATCTTTTGGTCACGGCTGCGCTCGACCTAAAACACCCGGTATATACCAAGAAGTGGCCAAATTTTATCCTTGGATTGAGAAAACTATCAAGGCCAATCCTTAGTAGAATTATATGCAAATTTTGTAATTAAAATTTAATAATAAAGTTAATATTTGGTCAAAAAAATAAATATTTTCTTTTGTTTAAAGTTGAGTAAAATTTGAAGAGAATATTAATTTTAAAATGTAACAATATTTATAATAACGTTATATGCGTTTTTAATTTTGATTGTAATTAATATTAAATACAACTAAATAATATTAAATAAATTTATTATGTCAAACTTTACAGTTATTTATTAAAGTAAATGATATAAATATTAATAGAATTGGTAGTTTAATTATAAAACCTTAAATTGTATATAACATAATGTTAAAATACGTTAAAAAATGGTATGTTAAAGGTATACTGTTTAATGGGAAATTCCATTGGGAATGATTAAATAAAATTTATTAATTATATTTTTAAATGTTTAATAAACGAGTTTATAATTAACAAAATAGACATGTTATTTATATAAACACAGCTCTAACCTTATTTATTGGGTATCAGAAAATGTTGCTAATTAAAAATATGTGTAATAATTTATAATGTTTTATCCATTGGTAATAATACTATTAGTATCAAACATTTTCAATGGTAATTATAAATGTTAAATTTAATCATTAGTTTAATATATAAAAACTTGGAAATAACTGATTATATAATTAAATATTCATATCTTAATAATTATTTACAGCGTTAACCGAAAACAATGACACAACTTCTCAATACAATACAACCGAGAGTCAGGATATCTATTTAAAACTAAGTGATAAGTATTTAATACTTTTATAAAATACATATTAAAGACATAATGTCACGGATTAAGACATTATGGATCAAACAATTAATTTTCGTATCATATCAATAGAAAGACATCAAATAAGGTTAATTTGCCAAATTGTGGACAAACCAGTGGTATATCCCCGAGGATTGTTGGCGGCGTTAAAGTAGACATAAAACAGTACCCATGGATGGTGTCATTCCAGAAGTTAAGCCGATCTACTTATACCCACTTTTGCGGCGGTTCTGTCCTAAACAATCGATGGCTATTGACTGCCGGCCACTGTTTTCATGGGTTTCAATATTTTACATTATGGTTTAAAATTTATATTGATTTTTTTGTTTTAATTATAGGAATAAGCATTCATTTAATAAGATCCGGGCGATGGTCGGCGCAACCAATTGGGAAAAGGGTGACGAATATGTGTACCAATTGGATAAATTGTTCATCCATGAGCAGTTTAGTACGTTAACCTACGCCAATGATATCGCTTTAGTTAAAGTAAAATATGACATCGCGTTTAAAAGGGAAGGCAGCGATAATCTGGTCAATAGTGTCTGTTTGCCAGCAGTTGACAGCCAACCGCCCGTAAAGGCCAATGTGTACGGATGGGGACTATTGGGTCAGTTCGGTAAGGCTAGCTCTTCGCTCATGAAAGTGGTTCTCGACAAATACGATACAAACGAATGTAACAAAATCTATGACAAATTTGTCGGCAAATTTACTAAACAAATGATGTGTTACGCGACTCCCGGTAAAGACGCCTGTCAGGTGTGCACATACTTTGCTCGCATTATAATTATTTATTGAAATTCAATTCAATTATAGGGCGATTCTGGTGGACCTCTCTCTTCAAAAATTGATGGGTTTGTTTGCTTTTGGAAATTATTGTGTTTTATTTTTGTTTTATTTATTTTCTACTTATAAATAGAAAAGAGTATCAATTTGGTTTAGTATCGTTTGGTCAGGGATGTAGTCTAGAAGATCACCCTGGTATATACACTAATGTTGCTCTCTATGCTGATTGGATCCACAAAACCATCACAAAGAATTAGATTAATACTATAATTTTGTAAAACTTATTTATTTTTAATTAATTTAATTTATAGTAAATATTATAAAATATTCCTTTTGATTGAATTTGGAAAATTCATACTAAATATTAAATTTTCATTAATTCCCAAATAAATAAAAATAATATAATTATTTATAGAATGTTAATAATTATAATATTGTTAGTTAATCAGTTTTAACATAGGTATTATCATCATCATGATGGTTATTTTTAATCTCCATTTTTATATTCAAATTAGTCCTCGCTTTCTGATCCATATCAGGCATCATCTGATTCTTGTCCTTCGGTCCAGAGCTCGGATCAAAGGGTGTGCTGTCTCTCGAGTAAACAGATCCACTCGTCACCACTTTGTTATCGTTTTCCTTCAATAAAAGTGTCGTCGCTTTAGTTGTGGTCTTTGGAGAGGGAGAGAGTGTTGTAATCAATTCCTTGATTGGCTTTACAGTGGAAGTCATATCGATTTCGTATATTCTGGTCGTTCTTTTGACACCATTTGTCTCGTCATATTCAACACAAATCAATTTATTATCTTTGTTGAGGCGTTGATGAGGTGGTGTCGGAGGGGCAGGAGTTGTGGTCGAGGTCTCTGAATGTTTTCTATTTTTTGGATTTGTAAATAGGGTTTTGAAAAACTTTCCCACTTTTTTAAAGAAATTTCCGATTTGGGCTTAAAATACAAATTTTAAAATCAAAGTTATTTTATATAATTATTGTTACGTAAATATTGAGAAAATGAATGTATGGGAACAAACCGAAGACATTTTGCCACCATTTGGCAAACTTTTGCCAGAAGGTGCGTCTGTCCTGATCCGAGAGGTATCGGCTCGAGATCTTGTACTTCTCGTAGACATCTTGAGGCATACCCTCGGGTTTGGACGGACTGTAACATCGGATCGTTTTACGCAAATCACTTTTAGGCACTGGCTTTGAATCAATGAATTTAATAAAAAGTATTACAAATGTAACGATTATTATATTTTTGACAAACATTTTCACTGACAATGAATGCATACAATAAAGACCTGACAATAGGACTGATATAACAAAAATTGATTGAAAATATGTTTTTGTAAATGCAATGAATATATTCTATGAGTTTAAGCTGAATAAATAAATCAATTATTCATACATTTAATTGTTAATTAATGTAATTTTTAAATGCAAATTATATTTTTTAATTGTCGTGAAATGTGAATAAATAATACTTTAAATTAATTTTTTAAAAACATAATGCTGTAAAAATTTAAAGTAATTAACATTCATTTAATTATTTCATTTAAACATTTTTTTGAATAACAATTATTTAGTTTATAAGATTACAATTTATTTGTAAATATGACTTCTCAATGAAAATAAACTAAAATTAAGTCAATAAATCAAATCGACCTTAAAATGGATTCATTTATCTTTCAATAAACTTATTAATTCAAAAGATAAGCCAAAAATGGATAGAAATGAAGCAAAAATGGACAGAAATACTGAAAAATATTATTTGAGAAAATTTATCTGAAACTAACGTTTTGTTTGTTAAATGATAAGCAAATCAAAGAAACAACTCTTAGAATTAAATGTTTGTGTAATCATTATTTGCCATATAATTAGTACCATTACATATGATTTGGTTTTTTAAATCAAATGCTTTTTCCTGAATGTAAACAAAAACCACTGATTATAAGAAATAACTTTTAGTTTACTTAAAGAATTGTGATTTAAATGAAAATATTCAATAATGTATATTAACTGCTATTTATTAGTATTTATAACTTTTGGTATTACTATTACTCTTGGAGTCAACAGATATGATGGTATTGTTTGAGTTTTATAAACTTCTGTTAAGTAAATGATTGATCTTTCAATTAGATTACGAATTCATACTCGAAAAGTGCTGCGATTTGGGCACAAATCGGGCCAAACAGATGCCGACCGGCGGTTGTGTTTTCGGTAACACAACGTTTGACCGATTGATCACAAACACTGAGTATAGGAAACAATGCGAACTCGTTGTGCAGATCTGTTGTCTGAAAGAGCATCGAAGCCGTAATTGCGAAGAGGGAAAGGCCTTCGCTAAGAGACATGAAAACTGTTCCGCAATTAATACAGCGATTGTCACGAATGCCGCCAATGAAACCGTCAAAGACTGTTGCCTGTCATGTCATTTGGGTCTAATGGCCAGTCGAGATCACTTTCCATGTACGTTTAACGCCCATGGTACTTTTGGGTTAGGATACCCGTACGAGGATGTCTACTATGAGTGCTGCGCTAACCCTAAACTCGATGCCTTTAATTCACTCATTAGTACGCGAAGAAGTGGTGAGATATATAAATAAATTATTTTTAATATCAGTTAATTCATAAACTCTTATTTGCTAAACAGGGGCCTCAACGAGCATATGTGACACAAATCATTCTCCCTGCGCCCATAACTGTTACGATCCCGGGGCCGATGTGGGACCCGTCCGGTGCTCGTGTTTCAAAGGCTATCAATTGGCGACCGATGGCAGGGATTGTATTGATGTCGACGAATGCGATGAAAAGACCCACACATGCGATGTCAGGACAGAAGAGTGCGTTAATAATGTCGGCGGCTTTGAGTGTCGCAAGAATGAGAGGCATGAGTCCAGAGACACGAGCCATCCCTGTCCTGATGGCTATAAGTGGAATAATAGGCACAAGAGATGCAGCGGTTTGTAAACAATTTAATCAATCAGTTTTAGTGAGAGTTTTTTTCTAATCTTATAAAAAATTATTTTGTTTACAATAAATTGTTGATATAATCAAAGGAAAAACAAACAAAAAAGTTTGAAACACTTTCTCACCCTTTCATTTGATTGCAGACATTGACGAGTGTT